GCAAAACACTGCTGTGGAAGTTCTCAAATAGACAGATTGTACGGGTATATTTGGCAGTATTTGCAGTGCAGGGGAAAGACAACACTTTGCGATTCTCTAGAGCTTGTATATGAAATTGTACAAAAGAACTTCACTACTTCTTGAAGAGTCCAAGGCATTACAGCATTAGCCAAATATTAGTAACCAAGCTCAAAAAACCCCAGAGAATGTGAGCTGTTTTGACTCAGATGCTGACCCTTCTCTCAGCTAAGGCTCTGCCGTTCCCAGAGCAGGGACATCGGCAGGTCATAGCAAACAGCTCCACTTCCCCAGCCATAGGAGACGAGTCATCCAAACAACTTAATACCCTTCACATCCAGAGGAACTTTATTCAAACATAATGTTAATCAGAAAGCTCTTTCCCATTCCCTAACTTGACCTCTTTCTCCTGATTAATTCAGTCTGAGAAATGGAGCTGGTTTGTTTTTCATGCCCAGCCCAACCTTCTCTTTGTTATTCAATATATAAATGTGTCAAATATAATTAAAACTGGCAGAGGCCAAGATTAAATCAAACAAACTGTAAACATTGCTTGTGCTATTTGGTTGATGCAAAGCTTTCAGTACAAAAGGCTTTTAAATAAATGAATTCAGCTATTACTGTGCTGCAGCACTGAAACCTTGCTCCAAGTGTTTGAACTTTTCGGGGACACTGTCAGGTCAGCTTAGATTCAAAACCTAAAACATGGCTGGGATTTTGAAATTGCCTAAGGGAATTAGGTACCTGACTTCTTCTGAAAGTCAATGTATGGTGGGAAGCGAATTGACTTTGAGCAGGAATTAGATGCCTTTGAAAAGCCTATTCATGTCCTTGTAAACAGAGGACCATGTCCTTCATGGGAATAAATTAACGTAACTCCTTTGACACCTACATACCCAGCAAAGCATCCGATACACAAATTTTACAAAACCTAAGACTAGCAGAATAACCCCTAAGAGCTACCTTATTTGACTGTATTTTGGTTAGCACTAAGTATTACCTTTCAATGTGCAATAATTATATTGTACAATAACGATATTATTAAGAGGTGGCATAACTAGAAGCCCAACTTCCAGGAAATTAGCCCATTAAGGACTTTCAGTGTCAGTCTGCCAGGCTGCAACTTGCAGTTTCACCCACTGATTTTGGTGCTTTAGGGTTTAGAGTTCAGATTCAGAGTTTTAGTACATCCAAGGTTTTCCACAAAACATTTTTGCATTAAAAACCCCACACCCGTATCTCATTAGCCACCATGCAAATTCATAGCAGGCAATGGAGAAACTTTGGAAAGCAAGTTTCTGTCTTGTTGACTGAGATGTCAGTGCTAAGCAATACAGCATTAAAATTTAGATTACATGGCTTTGAAAATAGATCCCTGGCAATTTGACACTATTTCCTTTAATTCCTCATTAAAAAGTAATGCAAGAAATGTGATGCTGTCTGTATTGTTATTGTATCTTATTTTTCACACAGGATGGGAATTTGTCACTCCTATGCTAAATTCTGCTTTTTTTTGCATGTGTATGTTCATATCTCCACATGTTTTACGACTTGAATAGCCTGATGCTACATTATGAACTGAGATTTTGGGGATTTCTCTGTCCAATGCCTTTAGAAAAAAACAACTGTAGTTGTGCCATTGGGATGGAGTCAGAAACTTCCCTTTCTGATCTTAAAAGTCTTCTTATTTATCCCCAAATATTCTCTAATAATTCTACTGGTCTCCTAGGTAAAGCTACCTCATTCAATGTTCAGCCTGGCTTCTCGAGATGGAACTCAATGGCAAAGTCAGAGGTCTTTTGGGGACAGGATGACATCATGATACAAGATGGCACAGTCACAGAATGTACTGGTCCTTCATCTCTGAAACGGCAATTCACATCTGAACAGAGATGATTAGGCAGAATTAGTGCACTTATTCCCTCTTTATCTTCAGTGGGCATGAAATCAGACCACCTAAACCGCTGCAAAGAGCCTTGCAACTGGCAGGCTTGGGTCAAGAGGAAGCCAGCGCTTGAGAGAGCAGAAGGTCAGGACTGATCAACAAAGGCAGAGCAGCCTTGCCCAGCCTGTTTGAGCAAGGCTACATATTAGTCCCTTGCCTTCATAACCATAGATGTTTTCAGTTCTGTTGAAAAAAGCTGATAAAGATTCCTCTGTGGCGATGGGTAATCACAAAGAATTGGAAGGAGCAACATAACTGTCCCATATCTTGGGAGCAGTTGAAACCATCTGAAGACCATTGTAATGATCTGCTACTGGGATGTGTCATATTCTGAAAGCTAAATAATCTCTTTTGAATTGACTATACAGATTGTAATGTTTTATCTACTTCCATCAGTGTATATATATTTTTTTCTCCTTCAGTTTGCTTTCTTACTTATTTGCAATGAATATTGCCCTGTGTTTAGACTTCTAGAACCAAATTTTGAAAGCTAATTAGATATGGAGGGATTTGAGTGAAAATCCTATACGGAAGCCAGATCCTTCATTAATGATGACACAGAACTATGTAATAAATGAACTAAAGAAACTTGCATGTTTTGGTTATTCATCTAAGATGATAGAATCATAGAATCGCTTAGGTTGGAAAAGACCTTTAAGATCATCAAATCCAACTTTTAACCTAACCCTGCCATCCCACCACTAAACCATGTCCCTAAGCACCTTGTCTACCTGACTTTTAAATACCTGCAGAGATGGGGACTCGACCACTTCCCTGGGCAGCTCGTTCCAATGCTTGACAACCCTTTCGGTGAAATTTTTTTTTCCTAATAACCAATCTAAACCTGCCCTGGCACATCTTGAGGCCATCTCCTCTTGTCCTATCGCTTGTTACTTGGGAGAAGAGACCAACACCCACCTTTCTACCACCCCCTTTCAGGTAGTTGTAGAGGGCGATAAGGCCTCCCCTCAGTCTCCTCTTCTCCAGACTAAACAATCCCAGATAGTGTGCATTGCCTCAGTCGTCCGGAAATGGGAGTAATGTTGAGTAACTTCTGTGTTCAGTGCTCAGCAAAATCTGCCATCTGCAACTAAGAGTTACTAATTGTCATAAATGGAGAAGCAAGCTGCAGTTTTCAAGACTGTGTCTGTTCTGCCCAGAATGAGAGCCCTGCTTAAGCAATGGGTCAAGTCCCAAACTATTTCTGCTAGTTGGCAGCATGAGGAACACTTCGGTAACAATGAGATCAATGAGATTACAAGACAGTGAACAGAGGCATTGCCGAATGAATTTGGTAAGAAAGGTTCAGAGCAGTACTTTTCTCTTTTTATATCCAAGTATTTTTATTCAGTGAGGTTGAGACAAAGAAGGTCTTGGGAGAAAAAAAAAAAAGTGTAGCAATGTAACAGATCTTAGGTACCATAATATCATCTAAAATAACTCAGTGGCAATTTCTGCTAGTATAGAACCCCCCAGGAACAAGTCAGACTGCTTTTCTCACCACAGTCAGGGTGTGGGAGCTGATTTGGATTTTACATGGATGCAGATATGAAGGGATACTATTGGGGATATTCCACTGCTGCACAGCTGAGATGATACCAGAATTTGGACTAATGGCTTCAGCTTGAAGCTCTCCTTGTAACTAAGGACAGCAGGATTTGACTTTTAATCAGGGCATTTTAGCTGCAATATGTCAAAAAGAGCTTGCAATACTTTTCCCTAGTTAAGTTCAGTTGTTTAATCTAATATCTGGTTTTACTTTATTATATGAAAGGATTCCAAGAGGTATGTTTTCATTTTCAAATTCAAATATTGCTTAAAATGAGTATTAAAATGTTATCCTACAGTATTAGGAACCTCACTAAAAGAACTTGTGGCCAGAATGAAGAAAAAGTATATATGATATTAATTCCTAATACAAATTAAACTGAAGAGGCTATCTTTCTTCATTGTTCCCAATGAGAGAAATTAAGAACGGCACAATGGTGTTTCAAATTCCCTAAAATCGTAGTATTCTGCAAGGTCTTCTAGCTGTAAGAAGTCATTTAAACCTGACGCACATACTGTTCAGCGGGAACTGGATCAGGTCCTTTCTGACCAACTCTGCTTATTTACATTCTCATACACTGTCTAGCTTTAATGCGCTGCATGGTTAAAGGAGAATCAGGAATTCAGCCCAGCCTTCCTTAAATTCTTGCTAGACGTTATGTTAATTTAATCCCTTATTTCTCTAGTTACCCAATACAAAGCGTGATTTCACTGTCATTAAAGACCACCTTGTTTCCTGTTTTCATATTCTTCTCACTGTTATTATTCTTCTCATTGAAGTCTCCCTTCTAGTCATAATGAACACTTGGAGCATTTCATTGAGAAAAATGAGGAGTTAAACATTTTCTATTTCCCTAATCAAGACCCTGTCATTATCATCACCGAAAGCCAGAAAAACAGGTTAAGAATGAGAGAATTACATGAAAGGTAAAAAGGACACTGCCGAAGTGATTTTGTGATCACAGTCGCTAATAATAATACACTGAATGTTGGCATGGCAATCTAATTACATACTGAAGCCTGTTGTGTAAACTCAGTTACTAGCTGCATTACATAATGCTGATGCTCAATTGCATCAGTCACAACTGAGCATAATATGAATAGAAATTTGGAAAAGTGTCTGATTGTTATTGTGGAATAATTCATACAACTCGTCAGCATGGCAGTTTTCAATTTAATTTGATCATTTTGAAACAAAAAGCCACAGTGATTCAATTCTAGAAGAAAAAGTAGCCTAGAAAAAAAATCACGTGGATTGCAAATGGAGAGAAAAAAACAAAAGTAGGATAATTATTTATTCTATCACTTTTGACAGTATCCTTTTAAAGGGAAGACTAAATTAAATTCTAAAGCCCAAATTCTCTTCTCATTCACATCACAATAGCTCCAGAGTAGTCCTACCAACTTTCATAGAATTACTCCAGAATTACACAAATATTAATGGCAGCGGAAGTTGGCTTTTCAAGCCTAGCTGTGTCACAATAGGAATACATTTTAAGAAGTGATATATAAAAGAAAATAGTTTTGAGGTTTTATTCCATTAAATTATATCTGCAGTATTACAGAGAAAGGCTGATTCCTCTTTTGGTCTCAAATAAGCTACTTTCAGAAAACAGGCATGACGAGAGTAAGAGAGCTCATAACGATCTTTGAATTAAGAATGTATTCAGTAAACACACTTGGTTTCTTCCCATACCACAAATTTCTTATCCTGAAATCTGTATTTCACATAAATGGAGGAGAACAGGACATAGAAAACTGATCTGAAGGCTGAATTAAATTTCCCCTGCAGTGACCTGTTTGAGGAACAGAAGGAAGGGGAATAAGGAAGGCTGAGACTGGTGCAATTCAAAGAGCAAAGACATTAAGTGACAGCCCCCCAAAAGTGTCAGAGGTCTTCCAGCAGCAGGTATGCCGTTCACATCCATCCCACCCTCTGGCGATAACTCTCTCCCTAGCTATTTCCACTTGATTCATGTTGTTTCTATACTTGCTGAAATGATTCATGCTGTTCCACTGTTATTATTCTTATTATTTCATCTATCCACACTTGTCTCTGCCAGTCTGTTATTCATAATTGCTAGGGCTCCAACCCCACCGGAGAATCCATTTTGCTTTGAATTAGAGCTCATTTGTCTCGGATAGCCATTAGCAGTTTCCGACAGCTGTTTCTGCATGATGGCTAGTGAGACCTTATTGGAGGCCAGAAAGTCTTTCATGGAGATCATCTCGCCCGACAGCCGGCGTCCGTCTGTGTCGCTCTCATTGACAATATCAGTCTCGATGGAGATGTTTCTCCGGCTGCGCACATTTCCAGGCATTACCACGTTCCTCCGTGAACGAAATAATTTTCTTTGGCATCTGTGGCAGCACCTGCAGTCCAGCTTCTTTAATATCCAGTTTATGGATTGTTTGATGACGATAGAGATCACGTTAAATAAGGAATAGATGCAGCACACCCCCATGAGTATGAAGACAAAATTGCCAAAGCGGTAAAGGCCTTGGCTCTCATACTTGATGTTCTGGCTGCTGACCAGATCACCGAAACCGATGGTGCTGAAGGCCACAAAGCAGAAGTAAAGCGAGTCAAAGTAACTCCACCCTTCGATCGGTGTGTACATTGCAGAGGCACAGCAGGAAATGATGAGCGATGCTACACATAAAATCAGCATGACGTAGTACACGGAGGGCTTCCAGCCCGCCAGGCTGTCCACCTCGGAGGTCCCCGAGCCCCGCCGGCTGTTGTGAGGGAGGACCCCTTTCCTCCTCAGCTGTCTTTCATGGCAGGACTTCATGACATAGGCTATGACAGTGATCAAGCGCTCCAGGAACAGGTTGAAGAACAAAATGGTCCCTGCACATCCTATAAGGCCATAAAATATCAGAAAGATTTTGCCTCCGACGGTGGCTGGGGTGGTCATGCCAAACCCTGGAAGACAAAACAGAACGGTTGAAAAAAATCAACCTGTAATTACCATGTCAGAAAGAACTGGCAGCAAATCGTCGTGGCACACATCAACTTTGGAAAAAAGTGAGGACACTCTCCCAAACTGTCACCTACTTGTGCTTGACCTTGTCCCAGCAGTAAGGGGAAGAAAACTCATGCCAGTATTTCCTCCAGCATCAGGATGAAACAAAAACCAGAAAAAAACAGTGGAAAGAAAAGAGAGTTTAGTGAAGGTCTGAATTTTGGTCCAGTTGCCAGACTCGCTCCATCCCCCTTTGTGCCTTGGACCACTTCCAGGCTCTGGGGTTATCACACCCCCTTCCTTCTCTCTCACATTGCTCTGCACCATGGGTCTGATCCAGGGATGGCTCTTGCCTTGCAGGGGTCCGTCCCCACCAAATCGTTGTAACCCAAGGTGAAATCTTTCTGAGCCTCACTCAGCTCTTGCTGTAAGTGTGGGTGGCCCCCCCCATCAGCCAGCACCGAGCACCCACCGCAGCCCAGCTGGGGAAGCCCAGGGAGCACACACTGGAGGAGGCAGCCCCTGACAGGGGCAGCAGCCCCTCGTGGGGGTCCCCAGCAGGCGTCACAGCCCTCTTTTAAATCAGCATTGCTGAAGTTTTCCTATTTCTCTGTGTCCCACTCCACAGCTCAAATCTGTATGTGAGTCTTAACGAAAGTCTCCTCTAGTCTCATTCCCTGTCGTGAGATTTCTCGGGTCAGAGGTGCTTCAGTCTTCTCCCAACTCCCTCCCCCTCCTAAATCCTGCAAATAGCAGTTTTGATTTGGTTACAACTATTGATAAGACAATCTTGCTTTAGTAAGATATTACTAAAGAATAAAAAGCATGTCCAGAACATCATCGAGCAAATGTGAGTAATAGTTGTGATAAACAACTCTGCTGTTATTTTATTAGGATTAATAAGGGATTACATAACTGATCAATTAAGCCAAAACAATCTTGCTGAGAGGACAGAAGAATCATGTTGGACAAGAGACACTTTTATTTATTTCCCTCTCTGTGTAATTGTGAGATGCTAATTATGAAATAAAGACCTTAGGCTCTGGGAAATAAAGGAAATCATATTCAGAGTGATACACTTGTGCTCAGAAGACAGCCAGCTGCAGCATGAAGAGGCCACATTCCCAACAGCGCTGACTTGCACTCGTCTTCCCGTCACTGGAAACCTGCTACCAGCACAGACTCCTCTCTGACACCGCTCCTGCCTCACACAGGTAAGCGACAGCCCCAAGCCTTCACCCCTCCGGCACAACCCCCTCTGAACAACAGCCCCAAGCCTGGGCTCTCGGGGGCTGCTGCATCTTCACCCGCATCCACGGCCAAACCACAGCATCCAGAGGACCTTCAGGAGGCACAAGCCTCCTCATCAAATTTCTGTGCTAGAGAGAGCTGGACTGCAGCTCTGTGCCGTGGGGAACAAACCCCACAGACAAACGTTCTTCGTGACAAGGGTCTTTTTGGCATTGTTCCCCTTGGCACGCAAATATTTCCACTCGCTTTCTACCTTCCCCTTCTGCTCCATGACCTGATCCCCTTATAATTCTAGTTTTGATGCTTATTTTCTCTGCAGTCTGGCTTATATGCAAGTCATGACCTCCACCCTGTGGACAGACAGGTAAAGACCGATGGACAAGGGGAACCTCTCTGCAGCTGGTGGGATCTGCCCAAAGCAGCTGGAGGGGATGGGGGCAGGGGGCTGCTGTGTCCCTGGCCCACCCTGCTCTTCAAAGAAAAGCGGCTGCAAGCTGGGCAGAGGTGGAAAGGTGGGGAGCCTCTGGCACAGGGTGAAGGGCAGCGGGGAGCAGCATGCATCTGTCACGGCATAAAGCAAATGCCCTGGAAAGAGCAACCTCGCAAAGGCTCACACCTCCAGCGTGGCATTACGCCTTTGGGCTGCTTCCCACAGGCCCCTCTCGGGATCCTGCCACTGGCGTCACGGCTAGAGCCTGAGCTCCTCAGGTTCATTTCTTCAGTTGACTGGATTTTATCTCAGAGCTCAGAACTGCGTGCATAAAAACTCACTAGCAAAGGCTTTACAAAGGCACCCAAAGAGGCACGATGGGAAATGCATGGTGAGCTATAAATACGAGAACATTGATCCAGAGAGGCGGTGAGGCTCTGACTGTGACTCTGCCCCCTGTCAGCTCCGCCTCTTCAGCAGGGGCCCTGTTTTGACCTCCTGGAGTAAAAGTAATTTTTTGTTCATTTTGCTATTTATAAATCTCAATATGTAGCAATCAATACTAACATTTCCAAACAAGCACTAAAATGGAAAATCTAAAAGCCGTATAAAGATATTAATTGAACAAGTATTCTCCTCCAAAGATCATGTGTCAAAAATGAGCTATAAGCTTTTAGTTCCAGAAATAATGTAAAGTCTTGAAGTGCCTTGTATTTCCCTGTATTGGGCCGCACTGTGCCTTGTTAACTTTGACCATCACAGTATTATACTCGGGATTGATTTAGGATGCTGTATTATAGAGTAGGACTTGTTTGAGAGTAAGTACATTTTTCTGCAAATGGACTCTTGGCGTATTTGAAATATTCATAAATCCACATAAATTGTTTCAGCCAAGAAATGCAGGAGGGCAGAATTATAAAAGGCTGAAACAGTTGAAATGAAACTAGATGTTCTCTTCTGGCATTTTTGTGGTAAAAATTTTTGTTTCAAATTATCAGTCACCTTTTGGTTAAAAAAAAGTGTTGGAAGTAAAAAGAATGAAAAAAATTACTTTGAAAAGTCTTTCAGATTTTTAGAAGTTTCATAATCTTAAAAAGGAACACAATATTTCACTAATGATCAAATCAAACCTCTCAAAAATGTCATTATATTTTATCCTTTTGAAAGACCTAAAAAAATCTGTTCCTATACAACTTCAGGTTGAATTTTTTTCCTATTTTTTTCCTGCTGGCTATCAAAGTAGAAAGGCACTGCTCGTTAATCTCTTCTAAAAAGTGAATTCTTTCAAAAGCCCTTTTCCTACAACAGCTCTGCAAATACCAGCTGGAAGTAAATTGTTATCCTTGGTGGGATCTGCTTCTTTTTTCCTCCAAATTTCTGCAAGGAAAAATGTGGCTCATTCATGGACAAAATGTAAAGCAACAGGATTTGTTCTTGTTTTAGTGAAATTACTGATGATCTTGTGCTGTGCAAACACAGAGGATCCATAGATAAGTCAATTCTTTCAAGAGGCCAGTGAAAGCTCTCACACCAAACTCTTCTCTCTAACCCGAGGACACCAAAATAAGCCCGTTGTCTGTGTGCTGGGATCATACACATTACCTGAGCATCAGAAGAGCCATGAAGTTCTCTCTGAAAGCAAAGACAACACTTAGCACAGCAATGTCTGTCCTGGGGGCAGGTATCTCCATAAGTCCTGGAGGTATGGGCATATGTCCATACGTCCCCTCTGCATCCCAGACGTGGTCAGGGCTTGCAGTGGCTCTTTTGTGGGGGGTAGGGAAGTGACCGTCCCTCTGTACTCGGTGCTGGTGAGGCCGCACCTTGAATACTGTGTTCGGTTTTGGGTCCCTCATTACCAGAAAGACATTGAGGTGATGGAGCATGTCCAGAGTTACCAGAAAGACGTTGAGGTGATGGAGCGTGTCCAGAGAAGGGCAACAAATCTAGTGAGGGGTCTGGAGCACAAGTCTTCTGCGGAGCGTCTGAGGGAACTGGCGTTGTTTAGCCTGGAGAAGAGGAGGCTGAGGGGAGACCTTATCACCCTCTACAATTACCTAAAAGGAGGCTGTAGTGAGGTGGGGGTCGGTCTCTTCTCCCACGTAACAAGTGATAGGATGAGAAGAAATGGCTTCAAGTTGCGCCAGGGGATGTTTAGATTGGATATTAGGAAAAATTTCTTCACCAAAAGGGTTGTCAAGCATTGGAATGGGCTGGCCAGGGAAGTGGTTGGGTCCCCATCCCTGGAGGTATTTAAGAGAGGTGTAAGTGGGGTGCTTAGGGACATGGTTTAGTGGTGGGATGGCAGGGTTAGGTTAAGAGTTGGACTTGATGATCTTGAAGGTCTTTTCCAACCTAAATGATTGTATGATTCTATGAACCCTGAGGCAGTGAGTTCCCCCGTGTAGTTATGCTTTGTGGAGAAAAAGTCTTTGTCTAACCTGCTGCCTGACAATTCGTTTCAGGCTTCCCATTTGTTGCACTTAGCTGTAGCAATCATTCTCCACGCACGTTCAGCCTTCACCTTCCCCCTTCTGATTTTACAGTCTTCTATTATTTCCTTCCTTCTCATTTCTTCCCCAGTCTGAGGAGGTCTGTAACATATAGTCCCTAGTTTTCAGTCTGCTAAGACATGCTTCTAACCAACCCAATTACCTTTCTTGTTTCTTTTCTACCTTAATAGAGTCTTTCAAAGATGAAAGAGCAGGACCAGACCTATATACAGTATTTGCAATGCAAAAGCACTTTGATTTGATGCAGGGCATACTGACATGTTGTGATTTGCTCTGTTTTTCACAGGAATTCCTGTTTGCCTTTTTAATTGTTATTGACCACTGAACTGATATTTTCAGAAACCTATCCACACCGGGCCTTAGCTCCCTTGCTCAACAAGTGATGGCTGTCTTGGAGCTCTTCAATGTCTGGCTGTAATTACACCTATCTTTTTCCACATGCATTACTTTGCATTTGTCACCACTGAATTTCATCTTTTTTTTTTACTTAGTTATCTCATGATCATTCATTACAGTCAGGTTTATAGCTGACTATCCTGAATACTTCTCTGTCCTAAGGAAATGTTGCTATCTATTTATTTACCTCTTTTCTCATCATCGTTTACAACTGTTGAAACATGCAGGTGTCAGCAAAGAGCCACAGAGACCATGTTGTTAACGTGCTTCCATTTTGAAAACTGAATATTGATACCTAGACTTTTCTTCTACCCTTTTAAAACAGTTATTTATCAATTATAAGACTCTACTTTTCATCCCATTAGAGTTGTATTTCTTTAGAGGGTCTGATG